CCCCAAGGAAGAGGGACTCCAGCCTGCTGGCCTACCCTGCAGATTCTGGACATGCTAGACTCCAACATCATGGAAGCCAGTGCCTTCAAATCAATCAATTAGTCTCCCTCTACACACACACACACCCTATTGGTTCTCTGGAGAACTCCAACACACATCTGCTCTAACAGCGTTCTCATACAGAGTCCAGCTGCAATGCCATCTAAGAGGGACTCTCCAGGCTACCCCACTTATTTGCAGCAAACGCTACATTATTTGAGGCCAAGCTGACTTAAAGCATAAGTCAGCTTGGCCTCAAATTAGCACGATTTCATGCTAATTATTAGCATAAGTTAATTATATCCGATTTGTAGGAAAAAGACATAACTGCATGAAGTGAGAGATTTACTCAAAGCAAGACTTGCGGGCATTTTCTTGTCACCTGACACCTTTGCTGGTCTGTTCCCACGTGCAGACTCGCCAGCCTCCGCCCAGGACCTCCTGTCCCGGATCAAACAGGAGGAGCCCCCGTGTGTGTGGGATCAGCAGGACCTGGCAGAGAGAGATATTCCAACGGACCCCAATTCAGGTGAGCACAGCACTATGGACTATTGGGAGGACAGGCTACTGATTTTTTATTTTTAATATGTTTTATTGATTTTGGAGAGAGAGAGAAACATCGATGTTAGAGAGACACATTGATTGGTTGCCTCCCACCTGCGCCTGGACCAGGGTCGGGGATTGAGCCTGCAACCAAGGTACATGCCCTTGGCTGGTATTTAACCCAGGACCCTTCAGTCCACGGTCCGACCCTCTGACCACTGAGCCACACCAGCCGGGGTTAGAGCAGTTCTTATAATGACCTTTGCTCACTGCTCCTGCCATCGCTGATTTTTAAGTCCTACCTCTCGCCCCGCGGTCCTGCGGGCCGTCGGAGATCAGCTGCCCTCCGGCTCGTCCTGGACATCCAGGCTGCCCTGGGGCTCACTGGCATAGTTCGGACACCTGGGCTCCGATCCTGGCTCTGCGGCCTTAGCGGCCGCCCTCCTCCTGCCCGCCCACCCCCAAGGGTTAGGAGCATGAGCGATATCCCACTGGCGAAGGCGCGAGGAGGGGGCTGCCGGTCAACGAAACAGATACCAGAGCCTCCGCGTGCCCCGCGAGCCTGAGCAGCGGCCTCTGCAGGGCACGGGTTTCGAGCCTTCGGGGGGATGCTCGGCGGGAATGAACAGGAGCTAAGGCTGCCTTCTCTCCACGAACAGAGTCTCTGATCTCAGCGCATGACATTTTATCGTGGATCAAGCAGGAGGAGCAGCCGTACCCGTGGGGCCCTCGGGACTCAATGGAAGGAGAGCTCGGACTAGATTCTGGCCCCAGTGAGTGCTGCGTGCGGTGCCCCCGGGACCCCTGGGTGTTTGTCCAGAGGGAATGGCTGCTCCCCCGGCCTACCCCCGTCTGTACCAGAGAGCTGTCCCCTTTGCTCTGGGAGGGTGGCAGGTCCGTTCGTTTCCTAGGGCTGTCTTAACAAAGTCCCCCACCCTGGGTGGCTTCAAAGAACAGAGATGTGTTGTGAGGCCAGGAGTCTGAAATCAAGGGGTCGCCAGGACCGTGCCCTCCCTGAAGGCTATGGGGAATCCTTCCTTGCCTTTCCCCAGCTTCTGGTGTTTGTTGTCGATCTTTGGTGTTCCCGGACTTGGAGACGTGTCACCCCAATCCTACGTCTTCTTATAAGGACACCGTCCTATTGGATCAGGGGCCACTCTGCTCCAGTGTGACCTCATCATAACTAATTCCATTTGCAAGCACCCTATGTCCAAACAAGGTCACGTCCTGAAGTCCCGGGCCTTCAGATTTTGATATTTTTCGAGGGATACAGTTCAGCCCGTAACAAGCAGGCAGGGAAGGGAGAGCCGGCTGGGATGGAGCCGAGCCAGGGCAGCCCAAGCAGTTGACGGACTCATGTTTTCTAAGCACTGGCCCGAGCCAGCCCTCAGCTGACACGCAGCGTCACCCGTGAAGATCCTGAAGCTTAAGTAGAGAGAGGGGATTTCCCCCCCCAAAACCGGTTTCTGACCAAACGTCTCACCCAGCCGGGGTCCCCTGGGTGTTGTTTGAAGCTCCACTTCCTGGCCAGTGACCTTAGGCACACGCTCGTGGGTATTTAACACTCAGCAGCAGGTAGCCTTCCTTGCCAGACCCAGACCAGCACCCTCTTCTGGTTGATCAGAGGTTGCATCCCTGTTTCTCACACCCTCTAAGAGCTTAAGATCCATGTAAGAGCTGAGGACATAGTTCATTCCTGATCTGAAAGGCCGTTTCACACCCAGGCGAGCGCATCCCACTCCCTGTGAGACAAATGTAATTCAGTGCGGAGGCCCCTCCTGACACGCGAGCGACTTTCTCCGGCCGCCCGCAGCGGCCTGAGGGCAGTCGCAACATTGGGGTTCCCCAGGCAGGCAGAACGGAGGACGGAGGGTGGGGGTGTCACCGTGAGTGACCAGCGCTGATCACAGAGCTGAGCTGGGTCAGGAAGGGGGAACAAAGGAGATGCAAGCAGACCGGTGCTCACACCACATTTGCAGACCGATCAGAGCAGCATTAGGACTGTTTGGGTTTCCAGGGAAACGGTCCCTGAGGTGGAGGGTGAAAGAGCGAGAGGAGCAGGTCGGGGTAGAGGGAGCCCCGAGGCCCTCGCCAGGCCCACAGGGTTGCAGGCATTGTCCTGGTCACTCGGATTGAGGCGTGAGCATTACCTTGCCTCTGCCCTGGCCACTGTCCTGTGGAAATGATTCTTTGCTGGTCCGTTGTGACTTGGACAGAGAGGGACAGGCTGGGCCCAGTCTGCTTAGGGGTGACGACCTCAGGAGAACAGACCTCAGGCAGGCACTGAGGAGCGTGGGGGTTGGGTGGGAGTGTGGCAGATGTGGCCTGAGAAGTGGCCTCCAGGGAGCAGATGGGTCCTGGGCAGAGGAGAGGAAGGGATGCCCACAAGACGTGGGGGGCAGAGTGCAAACTTCACCTTTATTCTTCCATGGGCTGCCCCTCCATGGGGGTGGGGTTCCTCCAGGGTGAAGGACTGACAACTGGGGGATCAGGGCGGTGATGAGGGGTAAGGGGATGAGAAGACTCCTAAATATAGTCAGCAAAGGAGAAGTTCCTCAGCCGGAGTCCTGGGCCTAAGGTCACCGATCTGGTGCTCAGAGCCTGGACTTGGTGCCTCACTGACCCCCCAAGGTGTTGGAGAACCATGAACTCAGCCTGGAGATGGGGGTGGGGGTGTGTGTGCAACGAAACAGGCACCATTGCAGGAGCAGGAGCAGGCCTCCTGGGGAGTCAGGCTGGGCAGCCACTTCCCCAGAACGGGGTGGGCCACTTCCCCAGCCACATGTGGTGAGGGTCCAGGTGGGGTCAGGCCTCAGGCTGGGGCCCACACCAGCCCAGCTGGCCAGCTGCTCTACAAGCCAGGCGGCGGCTTGCCTAGTGCACAGGTGACCGCTACACGTGGGAGGGTGGGGATGGACCCAGCTCCCTGCAGCCCGTTCCCTTTGGCCTCCGGACAAGCTTTCCACCCTGGAGAAGTTCTGGCAGATGCCCTCCAGGGGAGAGGTTCTCCTTAGATAAATGGGGAGAAGCTTGGACATGGGAACTCAGCTGGGTTTGTCTTAGTATTTCCAGGAGAGTCCGCCTTGGAAGCTGACCCCCACGCAGGCCCCCCC